CGGTTGTAGAACTCCCGGCACAGATGCGAAAATGGCAACTCGAGATCAGGCGTTGCCGCGATCTTCTGCCATTCTGTGAGCCAGTCGCGTGTCGATGTGTTGCCTTGGGTCATGCTGAAGAGGCGGTTGATGGCGAGCGCTGAGACGTCGTCCACGATAAACCGCTTCTTCCATAGCCTCGTCAACTCTTCCCAAGAGATCTTCTCATGTAGATCGGCGACCTGGACGTCGTGGATGGTTGCCAGGTGGCTGAGCCAGATCGCATATCCGCCCTTTGAGTTGCAGCGCGCCGATGTACGAGTGCTCGGGGACAAAAAAGAATCCGAAGTTCCGTCGTAAAGCCCTCCCACCAGGGGACCGGGTCTTGATGCGTATAATCATCGAACTTTCTTGTAGTGCTACGTACTGGTGTTGCCATCCTTGTTGGGCAGCTGGTGCAGTTGTTGAACCTCGGTCTTCAACCTCGGTCTTCAAGGTATCCAACTGCTTGCTGATGGTGGCTGGGGCAACGAAGGTGCTGATGTCGCCGAGCATTGCGACTACGTGGTCAACTCGTTCCTCCAACTGGCGGGTAGAGGGTGCATTGCTGGACTCGCCAACATCTGGTCTTGGTGCCACTTGCTCCAAGTCCTGTACACGGGAATCAAGTGCCCGTGTAGCATCCTCGTGCAGATCCTTGTGGTTCCGCACCGCCCGTCGGAGATTCGCCAGCTCGGACTGCAGGTGGGTGGTTACAAGTGTAAGCCAACCGGGTCACAAGTTTGGCAAGGAACTCCTTGTGCTGCTCTTCAGGTGTCGCTTCTTCGTGGTGCTCGGATGGTTCAAAATGCCAGAACTTGAGTTTTTCGATGCTGGTGGCTTCATGCCGCTGTAGCAGATCCTGGGCGTTCTTGCGGCGTGCCTAGGTATCTGTGTCTACTTCGGCCTGAAGCCACTGTTTTTCAGCTGCTGCCGCCGCTTCAGCTTGTAGGCGGGCAGCCTCGGCTGCCGCCTAACGCTGTTCCTCAGCCTCGATCAGTGCGAGCTGAGCTTCGAACCGCTGTCGGTACTCGACAATGGACTCATTGGCCAATTGGCCTGGCATGCCCAGAACTGAGACCGCCATGGCAGCTCGGACTGCAGGTGGGTGGTTACAAGTGTAAACCAACCGGGTCACGAGTTTGGCAAGGAACTCCTTGTGCTGCTCTTCCGGTGTAGCTTCTTCGTGGTGCTCGGGTGGTTCAAAATGCCAGAACTTGAGTTTTTCGATGCTGGTGGCTTCATGCCGCTGTAGCAGATCCTGGGCCTCCTTGCGTCGTGCCTGGGTATCTGCGTCTGCTTCGGCCTGAAGCCGCTGTTTTTCAGCTGCTGCCGCCGCTTCAGCTTGTAGGCGGGCAGCCTCGGCTGCCGCCTAACGCTGTTCCTCAGCCTCGATTAGTGCGAGCTGAGCTTCGAACCGCTGTCGGTACTCGACAATGGACTCATTGGCCATTTGGCCTGGCATGCCCAGAACTGAGACCGCCATGGTGGCGGGGCACTGCTGACGTGGCTCTGTTGCTGACGTGGCACTGCTCACGTGGCACTGTTGCTGACATGGTACTCCTGACGTGGCACTGTTGCTGACATGGCACTGTACCAAACCGGGAATGCAGACAAAGGGCTGCGTGAGAGGGAAAATGCAGGTAGGTAACCAACCAAGCTATACTTTCCTCCCGGTCCTAATCAACAAAATAAAAAAAATAAAAGAAGAGGATCACCCCCCCTTTTCTCTCTCTCTCTCTCTCTCTCTCTCTCTCTCTCTCTCTCTCTCTCTCTCTCTCTCTCTCTCTCTCTCTCACATCAACCATCATGATGATTGTCGTCACCTCCTCCTCCATCCTCCTCGGAATTATCCTCCTCCTCTTGTACCTCCTCCTATTTGTCCTCCTCTATTGCAGGCTTTTCGCCCTCTGTCGTAGGCCCTTCCTCCTTATAGTTCTCCCCTCCTTCGTCCTTCTCGTAGTCCTCCTCTATCGAAGACTCCTCCTCCTCCATCATTGAGTCCCCCTCCTCCATCTTGTGCTCTTCCTCCTCCGTTGTGGCCTCCTCATCGCCACCGCATGGAGGCGGACCTGGAAATCAGAAACAGGGTCTCGGTCCTCCTCCTCCTTTTCTCTCTCTCTCTCTCTCTCTCTCTCTCTCTCACTTCTCTCTCTCT